CCACCACACACGCACGCACGCACGCACACACACACACACACACAGGGATTTAGTCTACACTTAAAATTAAAAGAAACCAAAATGTTTGTAGCAACATACATGGCCCATGTTTATTAAAAAGTAAGAACATATATAGTTATATATAAATATAAACGTCCTGTTTGAGATCTGATTTGAATCTGCCCATATTTGGAATGTTTTTCTTTAAAACAATACTTCATTTTCTTTCAATATGTATTATCTTTTTGTTTCCGCAGTATATTAGATATAAGTTATAATAGGAATACTATTATATGATTATTTTCTTGAAAGAATACCTAGACAATATCATTTCTAAAACCCACGGTGACACCATCAACTGTATCGTAAATAACATTGATTAGAAAGTGAAGAAACTGCATGAAGGGTTAATGATAGATCTGTCGTTACAGTGCAGTCACATGGTGTCTCTCTGTTCTGTGACACACACACACACACACACACACACACACACACACACACACACACACACACACACACACAGTCTGCCGGCTGATTCTCGGCCAGGCCCAGCGCCGTCTCATGGCAGAGTGCTGGGCCAGATGTGGCTGTGGTTGTGCCTGCATTAGAAAAGAGTGCAGTTACAGGAAATGGATGCTTTAAAAAGAGGAAAAGAAAAAGAAAACTGGACCAGAGAGGTAAAGTATTGTTCTTGCCTCTCAAAGGACAAAACCAAGCCAGTTGAATTGTTTAATATGCCATTACTTAAATTAGCCTGAGTGTTTATGTTGGACAGGTGCATACAGGCTTAGCTAGTCAATTCAATGACAAGCCTTTGTGTTTCATTCAGTGCTGCTTTACTTTTATCATGGAAATTTAGAAAGATGATAAAACAAGCCATGGAAAATGCATCTGTGGTATGCATTTTGCCTAGTAATTCTCTTTATTCTGTATTGATTTTACAAATAAATCGTAATGCATGGAGGAAATGGTTGGATACGTGCTTAAACACTCGTTGAAGAAATGTAAGGGTAAAATGCATTTTACAAATAACTACATCTCTTTTCTATGTGGAGTTTAAAAATGGACAACAATAACACTCTCATTTTGTTGTGTTTCAGACGGCTTTTCTTATTGTAGACAAACTCAATTAATATCCAAATTGTGGTATAATTACCTTGGTTCTGCCAGGTTATTATAGTGCCCCACAATTGTGAATAATAACTGACATTATATGTAGCCACATTTTGGAAAGACATTCTGAATGGGATTGCTGTGTATAAATTGAAGTCAATTACAAATGGTAAATATTGGTCGTATGTGGCAACCTGTTTATTGGCTTACACAGCAGTCACTATAAGGAAGAGAGAAGTCCGCTGTTTTTTCTAGTGTGATTAACCTCTGAGACTAGGGCAAACTAATGTTTAAACATATTGAAGGTAGAAGAGCATATTTAGGTGAATTCATTCAAAGTTAATTTAGAGGGACGGAGTAGGATGGTGCATCTCTGAGGTTGGTCCTCAATTGATGTCGACCGAACACTCCATTGTTATTCACGACAGAGGGAGTCTGTCCCAGGTTCCTTGTAGGAAGGGTGCTGAGGGCCAAATCGGATTTCTGACTGAAAGAGGAATCCGCTACTTGGGGAAGGTCTGGAGAAAGTTGAGCCACCGCCTCTTTGTGGGGCTGCTGCTGGAGTGCCTTCAACATGTCGCTGATGCTCCAGAGTCATTAAGATTCAGAAGGGAGTTCAGTCCGGCCAGGTGGAGGGCTGCTCCAGCTGCTGAACAGCACAAAACTGCTCCGGGGTCACTCCTTAAATATGTAATCCTTTCCCTGCTGTTTTGAGTGACAGGAACACCCCATAAAGAGTTAATTTCCAAAGGCCTCTCCATGCCTTACTAAAACAGCAGGAGTCAATATAACATTGTGAAAAAGCTTACAGGGCCGACTGTAAGATAACTCTGGTTGGTCTTCCGCTCTGCCATATTGAACCTATTTAAATCATACTGATGACATAATGCATTTCAGCCGTATTAATGTTTCGATAGATTGGCAGAACATTTTAACTTTTAAATTATATACAGCATGTAAAAAAATACAAATGTTGACACTCCCAAGTCGGTTTAGCGAATGTTTAGCTAATAATAACGGGTTTTTAGTCAATACAAATGTAATACATTGCAATGGTGTTGCAAATATGAGACATGTTGTTGTTGAAATGGATAAAATATAAAGTGCTTAAGTACTCTATCAGTACATGTTTCCTTATCTGAAGGGGTTTGTTCGATTACTATTTACAAAAGCAGATCTAAATTTAAAGATATTATTGTAAATACAAACAAAAAACACTACCCTAACTTTGTGGAAGACATCATCTTTATACATGTATGGGAAGATTTTGCACTTTTATGAATGTCATGTGGAAAAAGAGATGTGTCTAATGCATTTTTAGTCCTGAATGTGAACAGTCACATTTGTTCAGCAATTGTTGTTTTGCAGTGCAAACACAGGCAAGAAAAAAAGATATGCAGGCCAGCCAGGACCCACTGAGCTTTTTTCCTCCAGCCTGGTGAAAATAATGAATTATTCAACAGTAAGCAAGCTTTCAGCTGGCCATTTGTATGCTTTGATCTAGGAATCAGGAGTTTGCATGAATGCCTGTATTGTCATCTTATGTTTTCACAGTGTGTGTATGATTGAAAAATAGTGCTGGCCCCCGCTTCATCTGCTAAAGTTTACACCGTTGTGGACAGGCCGGCCATCTCCAGATGTTGTTTATTTGTCCTGTGAGGTCACGTGGCTGGGTTCACTCCGGCTGGCCTCACCTAAATGTTCAGTGTGAAAACAGCTTTAGGGTCAACCTTTAACAAACTGCAGCTCCACGTCAAATCACACCCTCCCCTCGTGTAGCTCAGGGGAAAACAACATGTGTAGGTGTGGCCACAGGCAGGTGCTGCAGGTGTCAGAGACCTAATGTTTTGACGAGGTTATACACTGCGTTTTTATGTAAACTCACTGATTTATGTTTAAATGTTAGTTTTTGCTGGTCAACAGCCTAAAAAATGTGCTTCTCTCAAGACAATTTAAATATTTTACTAAAGAGAAAATATGAAGCAGACTTTTGTGGCAGTGCTAAAACAATAGATACATTGTTGGACAAAACAATAAACAACAGAAAAATGCTAAAACCAAAAATGGGCTAAAATTCTAAGGTTAATTATTCCCAAATAAAACACATTTTCTGGTTTTCTTCTGCATCAGACAAATGAATATGGGAGGGCTTGAAGTGCTGAACTCTCAGAAGTTGTGTATATATATATTTAAATTTTTTTATTATATATTTCTGTGATTTTATGAACCAAACAATGACTTTTTTGTTAAAGCTTTCCTATAATGGGTTTTGGAGCTTGTAATTCACACTTGTATACCTATACAACCATATATTTCATTTAGCTCACTTGAGCAGCGCACAAGAGCCCTGAACATCACAAGATGATGCTTCACGCTGCCTACGCCGTGTTTCCATTATACAAACAAGCAGATGGTTTATTTGTCTTGTCTAGATGCAACATGTCTCCAACATGTCTCCCATATCCTTTTGAGGTGATCTGTCACACTTTGTGATCCCCAATGTGCTGCCATTCATGGAAAATGCCTTTTCTCGTGATTACCTAAGATACGGCTCATTAGCACATGTGCGCTACATTGTGATCCCATTGTGTCATAACTAGAGTAAAGCCTTAATTGATAAGGATGTGAATGTAAAAAAATGTGTCATTGTATTGAGGGTTCACTGCATTTCATAGAGGAGCAGAGCACATCCATGGCATTGGTTGGCTACAGCTGGACACACAATTAGAGTGCCTCCTTACCTATAATTTGTGTAATAGTTTTGGTTGGCGGCATGTTATTACCATATGAAAGGGCTAAGCAGGGGTCATGTGCATTGCTACAACAATTAGAGCAGAGCTGAGGGCAGAAGAATGTTTGGAGCCGTTGTTAATTGGAAATCTCTACAAAGCTATGCTTTAATTATAATTTAGTCGGAGCTGCACTGTTTTAAACCCAATATATTCAGTTGCCATCATGTTCTGTAATAGTATGAACAGCTAGGTCTGTTTCCTTTCAAAGCGTAGTGCTTTGAAGAGAATGAGATTGAATTAGATTAATTTGAAAGGCTGGGCAAGGTTTTTTCATGCTAATGTCACATGGTGTTCTGACAGGATCTGGTTTGTTGAGGAGATGCACATACCTTCTGATTTTAATGCACTTTAAAATATGGTTATAAACCTTATAATTTGCTCTGTCCATATGTGTATGATTCTATTATTACTTCCTACATAAATTGTGAATGAACAAGTGATGGATATTGTGACTAAAGATATTTTAAATCCCAATTATGTTCAAAGGTTCTAAATTATGAATTGTCTTTTGAGTAAAATGACCTCATTGTGTTTATTTAACTGCTGCTTATAATAGGGCTGCTCGATTATGGCAAAAATCATAATCTCGATTATTTGGGTCAATAATTGATATCACGATTATTAAAAACGATTATCCATTTACTTTGAAAACATCAATTTATGTTTTTAACAGTTGATTACCCTGAACTTTAAGTATAATTCAACTGAAAAACCAATAAAAAAAAAAATGTATAAAAAAAAAAAAGCCCTAGATCCTTTACTGGATCTTAAAATATATAATATAATTAGTTTGTCAAATTTCACAGTAAGGCCGGGAAAACTGTTGAAATCAGAAAACCAACCAAGAAAAAGCAGCAGCGGGGAAGAGGGTGTTTTTGACAGAAGATCTTTTTTTGTTTGTTGATGGCTTGTTTTCCTTTATTTGAAACTCAAATGTGTATGAGCATTCTAAAAAATGTCATGGCCGTGATGTTTTTCTTCTTTTAAATGTAAAAAAACATGTCCATTCCTCACTTGATATTTAATATTATGTTAGGCTCTAAATGTGAAATATTTTTGCATTAATCCACATTTCTCATGTTTTGATTTACACAGGTCGAAATGAGCTGATAGCCAGATACATCAAGCTTCGGACCGGGAAGACGAGGACTCGGAAGCAGGTAAGACGAGGGGAGAGACGTCTCTGTTGCATGAGTGTCAGAGGGCTGTCAAATCTAAATGCACGCAGACTGCTGCCTTTGTTTCCAGACAGAGAATAACACAATGCTCAGCTGTCGAGAGGGCTTCTGAGGCTGACAAGTCCCCCGTCAATGCTCTGGTGCATGAACAGATGTCCCTGGGTTATGACATTCTCAAAACTGTCACTTACTGTAAAATGACTGCAGAAGTCGTTTTAAAAGCTGCCTTTCATGTCCTATTCTGAAGCAGCTATGTACAATAAATAGTAAATACAAGGGCATTTACAAATCTCAGTAGCTTAACAGTGCAAGTATTCCTCCTCATGACTAAACCAAGGAGGTTGTGCACTTGGTCGGAGCAGAAGCCTGTATTACTAAGCTGGGAAATATGAACAGATCTCTGATCAGAGAGTATTCGCTGGGACACGGTGTTCATACCGCAGACTAACAACTCTTACCACAGAGGTTAGCGCAGATTTCTGACTCAAGTTTTCATGTTTCTTTCAAGTCTCTTCTGTAAGAAATCAAGATAATGTATAATATGGAATGCAGGGCTATTTTTCTTTCTCTTATATCTCATAGGAAATATAATACTAAAAATAAATCCAAGAACAGTTCATTCTTGTATTTACATCAGCTGATAATAAGCATCTCTGATGATTTTTTTTACAGTGTTCTTAATATAGTTCACTATCTGTGTACTTAAATGTTTTTGCTTTATATTTTATGTATGCACCATGACATCATGTCAAATTTCTCGTACGTGTGAACCTACCTGGCAATAAACCCGTTTCTCATTCTGATTCTGGTGGTGTTTGAATAACAGTATGAATCACACTGACTGATCCTAACCTGTAAACGGGAACTCCTCCGTATGACCACTCACTTGAAAGACAATGATAAACAAGCCAGTGTCTGCAGAGACATTCGATCACTGAGTGTGGATTGATGAGTCTGACACACAGTGTGGTTTGTCTCTCTGCGACTCTTCCCTCTACACACAAGTCACACAATATAGACAAGTATTACATTGGAGAAGTTATAGAACCAGAAACTGTCTGAATATATTTGCTTAAAAAAAAAATATATATATATTTGCTGCTAAATTCTCTTCCCTTACTTACTTACTCAGCTCTAGCTTATCTGTCAACTGGAATAGCCAGAAGTCGTAGATAGTGAATAGATATTTACCTGAACAGAATCACTTCGCCTAAGCTATAACTGATTTTCCTAAATAGTGTCAGAGGAGACGCCAATCAACAGACATGTCTTTTTTTTCTTACTGCTACTTGCACTGCTGAATGTTTAATGTGAGAATATTAAATCATTTTTGCTCTGTGTGAACGTTGGAGGCTGAACTTGGCCGATGAAATGCCTCGTCCCGCTCCCGTAAGAATACTAGACCAGCCACTTCTCATTCAACACACAGCAGATCACATCTGGGTGCTCTTAATGTGTGCTAAAGGGGCCTGCATCCTCCTTAATCAGCTCACTTAAGTGACGACAACACAGCATAACGCTCTATTGGCTGTTAGCTTGGTGTGTGTTTGGAGATGCTTCTGTTATTCACCTTTTTTCCCTCAAGTGTATTTTAAACAAAGAACTGTATAATCGACTTTTTTCTTGTTTTCTTTATTTGTTTTCTCTCTTTTTTTATGGAGGTGTCTAGTCACATACAGGTCTTAGCAAGAAAGAAAGTTCGAGAAATCCAAGCTGCCATTAAGGTACGTCTGGCTTTGCCCAGTTGCAGGGGGCTTTTCATTGCCATGGTTACAGGCTCTTCCTTTGTTTTCCTCCCCTCCCCTTCCCCGCAGGTGTCTAGTCACATTCAGGTTCTTGCCAGAAGGAAATCTCGTGAGTTTCATTCCAAGCTAAAGGTATGCGCTTTTCTGCTTATGGGCTTCTTGGTTGCTGTGCGACTAAACTTCCTGTTTCCCGTGGTGACAGAGTGAATGCCTGGTGCTCTGATTCCCACTAACCCAAATCTTCACATGCTCTAACCCCCCTCCACCACCTCTCTGACCCTCACTCAGACATGCTGTCACTTGCCTGTCTACTTGGTTTCACTTTCATTCATTTACTTCTCTGTGTGGGCCCTTTGCTCAATGTGTCCATGTAGTAGTGTACAACTAATTACACTTTTAGATTTATCAACAACAAATTATTTGATAAAAAATAAAAATAAAAAAAATAGGCAAATTGGCCAATAAGAGATTACAAAACAAATATCAAAATAGGATCATCACTTAAATGTGATAGAGTTGTGCCCAAGCTACAAGATGTACTGAAGGGGACATTTTACTGTTAAACAAAAATAAGCACTGCTAGCCCTTTGTGAGGATTCACTTAATTGTGTGGTTGGAAACTTTGATAAAACTATAGCTTTTTCATATCTTCCTCTGCCTTCCCCCCAGTGGTCCCATTGGCATTTTCCAGATTCCCAGTGCTATAAGAAAAAACCATCAATCAGAGCCAACTCAGAAAGACTGTGACCTGGCCGCCGTGTTGAAAAACAGTCGAGCACTAAGCACCCACGGGCCAGAGCAAACCTTCGATCTGTAAAAAGACAGTTTGAGTCTTGTTAAATTCCCCGACTGCAGCTTTGAGCACAGCAGGGCTGTGAGCTAAATGCAAACACCAGCCAGCTAACATGCTAACATCAATAATCTTTACTATTTTGGATTATCTAACTGATAGTGTAGGCATGAATGTTTGTACCAAATGATGGCATTCCATCCATTTCATTCATAGCCACAAAAACCGAGCTCACTGTGGCACAAGAGTCAACCAATAGTGACCATACATGTTTGTACCTAATGAATAATAAAAACTAAAATGTAGAAATATTTCACTCTACAATTCTTTAAAATCCCAAAAAATCTGTAAAATCTGTCAATACGCGTGTGTAATGTTCACTGTTTCTTAATGTCAAATATAATTTTTAGATTTCTTTACTAATTTTTACGCCAAGCATTATTCTAATAAATCCACAATCAAAGTGTCCAAATGTTGGGAAGCATGCTGGCAATGGCTGTGGGTGAGCGGCTGAGAGCTGAAGGCCCGAGGATATCGGTCTGATGGCCGACTCTTTGTGAAGCGCTCTCTGCTTTCTTGTTTCTCCTTCAATCTGTTGATAACTCCAGACTGTCACAAAGCCATGGCTGTCAGCCGCTGTCCTTGCTACCAGTTCAGATGTCTTCAATTCAGAGCATTCTTGTCACTTATTTCAGCAGTAGTGAATTGCTTTTCACAATGCCACATTCATTTGGGAGACAAGCATTGTGAAATAAGTCCTTTTGAATCATTTCAGATATTCTATGAAGTCATTTTGTATATCAAAGGCGCACTACCCCTGTGCCTTTTTTACCTTTTTTTCCAGGGAGCAGACTATACATTTTGACTTTCACACTTTGCTCCACTCCTTGTATTCAACACAAATGAATGACCCCTCATTAATGAGTGTGTGTATGCGTGTATGCGTGTGTGTGTTGACTGAAAGAGTCAGACATGAATGCCTGATCTTTCAAGGGCACATGCGGCTGTCTGAAGAAAAACAGACCGCTTTTGTATGAATCCCTGTGTTTTCTCATTTAAAGTAAATTAGAGTTCAGGGGCAAAGAGAAATAAAAGTGTGCCCTTTATTTCTGGGGGCATCGATGAAGACCTGCTCTTCCTCGTCTTGTCTATTGCATTTAAGTGAAATTACCGTCATTACGTTACTGTTCTGTTGTTTTGTGTGATGACTACTGATCAGATTGTGAAAATGTCACCACAGAGACCAAGGATATGTTGTTAATGATACAAATCGTAATCCTTTGGTTTTAAGTGTTCATTACAAATGTGTGTTTTACTATGTACTGTATAATGCTAGACTTTTTAATAGGGTTGAATACTCGTATTAAATGGATGTACATTAAAACCTTGTTTGTTTGCATTTAGGTTACAAACATGGTGAGTATTTATTTTTTGTTTGGGATGCTGTTTGGCATGCCTTGTCCTTTAGCTGCTAGTATTGCATGTGTGCTCGTGCCATAGTGACACAGTAGCTGCTGCTCAGTGTTTTCCCAGTTTAGTGTTGTCTCTTTCCCTTTGTGTCATCATACCGTCGTCATACTGTACTGTAGCTTGACTCTGCTCCACCATCATCTGTTGCCAGCATGCTTACCTTTAGCTTCGACCACCACTGAGTCTGCATGAGTTTGCTTGTGTTTAAGGGTTTTCCACAGTCTTCTGCAGATGCACTGAATTAAGCAGGTTTAGTAAGACTTTAAATAGCTTTTGAAAGCACATTAACAAAGGCCAACACCCAAAACAACAGACAATGTGCAGTGAACTTCTGAAGGATTTTGTGTCTGAGTTGCTATTCCATTAACTAAGCATGGCCATTTGAAATTAATGTAGTAAATATACCCTGATGATAATTAAAAACGGAATAAACGGGAAAAAGGAAATAACTGAAGCTGTGAAATCCTCTTAACCAAGTAGCACTGGCGTCCTTCAGTCTTACTTTGTAAAACTTTACAATCTTTTTTGAAATGCAGACTTGATAAGTGCTGCTGAATGAGTTTTCAAAATAATTGTATTTGTAGATAAGTCAACAAGTAAACTTTCATTTAAGTGCATACCACAGCTTTTGAATGGTATGGAATTCAATTGTCAGTGTTTGGCACATTCCTGCAAAAACACTTAAATAGTGATGCAGATGCATCTTCTTTTAACCTGCTTGCAGTGCACTGTTGCGAGAGGCCGCTGGTGCTTTTAATGTGTTTAGTCTGTTTGTTGCTACCTCTGCAACATGCCCCCCTCCCCCTTCTGTGTGAGCGCTAAGCCTTTTGTGACTGCTATTAAAGGACCAAGCCGTGAAGGACAAAGCCCTCCAGAGCATGGCCTCCATGTCCTCGGCTCAGATCGTCTCTGCCACGGCTATTCACAACAAGCTGGGCCTGCCAGGCCTCCCGCGCCCAGCCTTCCCCGGAGCAGGGGTAAGAGCCTCGTACTCACCCTACTATTGATCCATCCTGTCCAGCCTCACCCGGGCCGCCGAGAGGCCAACCACGCCGCCACCCTCGCCAAATCTCATTACACACCACAGCTTTGCAACACTGACACTATCAGATAAGCACAAGATCAAAAGGAGTGCTATTCAAGATAACTACATCCACTAAACACTGAGCTGAGATCCATTTGATCTTGTTGCTAACAGCTGCTGCTTTGTTCTTTGGTGTCTATTAATTTATGTAACTTTCCAGTTATGGCAGGGTATGATATCAGCTGGTCAACCAGGATCCTCACAAGAGTAAGTATTGTTCTTAAACTTAAAATGTACACTAAAAACTCTTTAGGCATCAAATTCAATATAGTGTGTTTTAATAATGTTTTTTTTTTACCCCTAACGCTGGGTCTTTCTCTGTTCCAGTATAAAGCCTTTCACTCAGCAAGCCTATCCCATCCAGCCAGTCACAACAACCATTTCAAGTAAGCATTTACCTGATTAAAAAACGGACCCAAAATATAAATCAAAAAACATGCACAGACCACTCATTTATTCTTATTCATTTTTTGTGAATTAGGATTGATTGTAAGTGGACAATCCTGTCTAAAAGTAAACAGATGCTTTCTCTTTAAAGTCGGAAAGCAAACCATCTGTCTCATTGAGACAATGGGAATACAAATAAATATTGTGAAACGTACATAAGTATGATTCATCAATATTTATTTGTATGTGACATGAGAAAACGATTTAATTCATATCGTTTCTAAAGTTTCTGAATTGCTTTTTTGCTTATTTGTTTGAAGTAAACGGGAATGTTGTCAGTAAAAAAACATGCATGTCCTTGAAACGTCTCAAACAAGATCTTTGATAAAGCAGGAGTTTATTTGTTCTCCTGCTTCTGCTGTAAAGCATCCCAACGACAGGACACATCTTATTACATTAATGTTTAGTGTTTTTTTTTTTTTCTGTTATAACGCCTTGTCCGGAATGCTTTGGCAATACTATGTTTAAAATGTGGTCCTGCCAATAAAGCCCTATTGTATTGTATTATTATTATTCTGGTGTTTCTGCAGGTTACGAGCCCACATCAGCTCCAGCTCCCACAGCACCAGCATGGCAGGGGCGCTCCATCGGTACATCCAAACTCCATCTGGTGGAGTTCTCCGCTTTCCTAGAGCAACAGAGAGACCAAGACCCAGTGAGTGAAGCATTATCCCAGAGCATGAAATATCCCTATCTCATGGCGTTCATTCCTACCTCTTATCCTCCAGTCCTCCTCTATGAATACACTGGGACAGTTTCCCAGGCTGAGAGGAGGCCAAAACAAGCCGAGAGGGGCGAAGCCTGGCCTGCAGGGACACACAGCTGAAAACCTGCAGAAATAATGAGGGACTGTTTATTAATCAGTTCCTACAAGGCTTGCTACAAATGTATTTATGCCGCAGACTCAGCAAGACGATCCACACTCAAATCAGCTCCTTCACGTCTCACATTTCTTGGTTTCTTAAGCAATGTTTTTATATTTCTTTACATTATGCTAAGCACTTTGTGGTTGTATCAATGCCGCATGGCAACAGCCATAAATCTTCCATTCAGCTTAATGCCTGAAATGGTTGCCTTTACCCTAAAGGCACATTGAAGAGGCTGCTCTGTGAGCTTTTAGACTGAAGCGCAGCGCCACATGACAAGAGATCCAAACAGTCACGACGAGGGCAACAAACCTGTGAAAATGTTATCCTGTGATCCGCTTCTGGCTCATATCGTGGGTTGGAGGTCTAACAGACCTTCATTTGTATTCACTTTGTGAAAGGAAATCCAAATATTGTCTGTTGACTGAGTAGAACAAATTAATATCTTCTTTAGGTAAAGCACTTACCTTTCATTCCATATTGGCAATTTAGTTTGATTGTAGTTGCCTTTGATGCAGAAATATTGCTTTTTATGTGAGTGAAGAGTTAGATCTATCTTGGTCAGAAAGATGGAGATTTGTGTTTTATCCGGCTTTCTTGTCTTTATATAAAAAAATGAAATAAAGGTGTATAGAATTAGTGTGAAGCAGTCTGGCATTCCCAGCTGGGGTTTATACTAAAGAGCAGATCGGTTTGTTTTTGGCTTCACTGGTGCAGAATGCCGTTTCCTAATGTGTACACCATACAACCTAAGAGCTAAATAAAAAGCCATGTTGCCTAGGGTTATCAACATGAGGGTTTATTGTTACAATCACATTTTAGTTCCCACTTGCCATAGGTGGATTGTGTTTCAGAACCTTTTGTGTTGATGATTCTCTGGATATTAATGAAATCATGTTCATTTTTAAATAGCCCCATATTTTTTAAGTATGTTTCTAATACAATGTATGTTTCTTTTCAGTACAACAAGCACCTATTTGTACATATCGGACAGACAAATCATTCCTACAGTGACGCCCTGCTGGAGTCGGTGGACATTCGTCAGATTTATGACAAATTCCCAGAAAAGAAAGGAGGACTGAAGGAGCTGTACGGAAAAGGTCCTCAGAATTCCTTCTTCCTAATAAAATTCTGGGTGAGTGTGAGGCAGTGTAACAGCTGAACTACATTTAACACACATCAGTAATAATCTCATTGTGACATGTTAGATGGCAGAATCAGGTCTGTCTTCAGTGATTGGCTGTAATCAGTCTACACAGAGAAGATTGCTCTCTTAATGTTTGCAGAATGCACTTTGCTATATTTGGACTTGCATAGCAGGAGAGCGTTTGATCAAAGCTCTCGCTAATTCAATGTAATATCTCCAAACAATGGAGCGCCCTGGTTGCACTCCTAATGACTGTTTAAACATTGCATGTATTTCCTCCCTGATGCAAAATGCTAACTAGCGGCAGCCAACAAAGTAGGAGCGTATGCACTTGGACCAAGTCCCCTCAAATTTCTTTTGAAGTGACCGACCAATCTACATTTCAAATGAAAGACAGAATCTGCACAATAATGAATGTATAACTGCTCTGCTTAATGAAGGAGGAGAATGTTTTAGGAGGACGTCTCCTCTTTTTGTATCCCTAATGAACAGGATGTGCAGGGCAGAGAAAGGCTGCCCTCCGGGAGCAGGCCAGTTCCACCTTGTATATCAGTCGCAGCTTCATTTAATCCTCTTTAGAATCTCGCTTCCAAAAGGGACACATTTACATGATGTACTTGAGATATTCTTATTTGATGTGCGATTTGCATGTTCATTTCAACAACTCTTGATTAAGAAGGGGACTAAAAACATACACATTTTTGTACAGCAGTTAAACCAAATGTTGACTTACTCCAAAAAGGCCAAAAACAAATGTTCAATATTACACTACATACCTATTGTATACAGAACTAAACACTAACCTTTATATGTTGTCTCTCATGTAAGTATTCAAGAAATATGGAGCTGTTCAAGACCAAAATCAGAACTAAAAGAGACCTCATTCCAGCAAGTGATCAGAAACACAACTCTGTTATTGCTGCAGTTCTCAGATATTCTTAGAACGGTGCTGTTTCAGCTTTCCTTTTTTTTTTTATAGTTCCCCACATGACATGCAACAACCATTGCATTAACACTTACAATTATGTAGTCAAAAATCGTACATACATTTTCTGTACATGACTTAGTTTGTACACCAGAGAGCGCTGACAAGTTTATTATTTTCATTTTCAAAAGTAAAACTAATATATTTTGGTCAAGGATCTAAAACATTATTTTCGTTTATTTATTTTTAAATATTGATCAGATTTTGTTCTGCATGGGGTTAATTGCTCACAGATGATTATTTTCAAAGTTTCATTGGCTGTGTTACAGGTAATTCACATTTATGGGACTTAACATGTATTTCTGAGATCTTTATGATAATCAATGGTTTTGATGGTTGTTCCCCACTCAAATAATGTCCTTACACAAAGGTTTGTTGTGAACTGCAGATATACGGTTGCATTGTGATGAAATAAGGATGTAGTTCATACTGTACACATAATTCCTTAATAAGTTACATTTGAGTGCTGGCTCATCACTTATTCTTTTTTTACTTAACTTCTTAGCTTACTCTTCTTACATGTTGTATGAAATGGCAATAAAAGAATATTTGTCACTTGCCACTCCCTACAATTTTTTATTTTACTATTTGAATACATTGCATTTACCTCTTTTTACCATTTATGTGTGGTTTATTCCTGTAAATTATAAATAATTCTTGTAACTAAATGCTCTATTTTTTCTCCGGCTCCCAGGCTGACCTGAACTGCAACATTCAGGATGAAACCGGATCTTTCTACGGAGTCTCGAGTCAGTACGAGAGCTCGGAGAACATGACCATAACGTGTTCAACAAAGGTCTGCTCTTTTGGAAAGCAGGTGGTTGAGAAAGTAGAGGTACGGAAACAAATCTGTTCATTTCCTACAGAACAACGGCTGTGACTTACTGAGTACCGACAGTACAACTGTGTGGAGTTTAGGTTTTAAAACATTCTGTATAATTAATCAATTGTTTTCCTCTTTTTCTTCAGACTGAATATGCGCGGTTTGAGAACGGACGTTTTGTGTACCGGATAAGCCGGTCTCCCATGTGTGAATACATGATCAACTTCATCCATAAACTGAAACATCTGCCAGAGAAATATATGATGAACAGCGTGCTGGAGAACTTCACTATCTTATTGGTAATCACCCCGCTGACCTCAGGGGGCGGGATCCCATTCTTCTCCTTCTCTTTGCTGTCAGGGTGTGTTGGTGGCTCCAGGTGGGGGGTGGGGGTCCGCAGGGCCTTGGGAAGGCTTCCTCTCGCTGGTCTTACATTGCTCTCATTCCTCAGGGGATGAAACACAGTGTGAAGAGGCTCATTATCTGCAGGGGGAAAGGGAGGATAAGAGGTGGCAGGAACCCCCGTTATTAGCCCTCACATGGGGTCTTAGTGTCATTCAGCACTTCTAAGACCGCAACAACAAAAAAAAGAGACAGGCAGAGATCTTTACATGTAAAATAGCAACCACGGCTGAACATCCCTACCTTAAGACGTGTTCCCCAAAAGCACCATGTTAGAGGATGGTCGTAGATTAATCAGCAACTCCCGTTTGGTTTTTAATAGCTATTGCCATTCAGAAAATCTGCAGGAGGAACCAAAAATGACACATTTCAGTGTGGTTTTATTTCAGGTTATATTTCTGTACTCTGATTATGACTACTGCTCTTATACAAAATTGATAGGTAATCTTCAAATGTAATGTCTTGAAGAGCCACTAAATTAAATTAAGTTTACTTAATAAAAGTGACGTCCACCCAATAACTAACAGCTGTTAAACGCTGATGCACATGCGCTACATATTCGTCATGAATGATTATTAATAGAAAACATTTACATTGTATGCCCAGTGAGGCATGCATATGTAACAATTACTAGTTACTTTAAAGTGTATTTAGTATTATTTTAAGCACCAAAGACCCTTTTGTCCTGTTCAGGGAAAACGTATAAGGATTCAACTTTTGAAAGAAAAACCCATAAAAAAAAAATACAAAAACGTTGTAAACTTCCAAGATTGAAATCAGAAAACAGGACCCTGAGCTTTTGCTGAGTTTTGAAATTGTATTAAGTCCTTAAATTGTGCGTTGTGTTGCAGGTGGTGACGAACAGGGACACTCAGGAGACGCTGCTCTGCATGGCGTGTGTGTTTGAAGTTTCAAACAGCGAGCACGGCGCCCAGCATCACATCTACAGACTGGTAAAGGATTGAGAGGCTCCGAGCCCCCCCCCTCCCCCTCTCTTTTCATGGATTTACCAACGTCAATCAAGTGGCAGTGCCTCTACCTGAAAGTCACACCTACAATGCTTTTTGGTCATGGTATCGGGTGAAGTCAGTTGTTATAAATGTGTTTTAATTTAAAGTGTTTGTTATTTGACTGCAGCTGTGAATTGCGGTACAGTTGTTTTGTTTAAATGCGGGAATTCTCTCTTAAAATGTTATCTTGGTCTCTGTTGGGTATAAATGTGGCCGTTTTTAAAGAATTTACTAGATTAATTTAGTAAATGGAAATGTGTTTGTCGTCTTCTTCTACTTTGTTGCGTAAACTAAGAAAAAAAAGGATGCTGGCCTTTTCTTTGAGTGGCCGGATGTGGTCTGTGTAATTTGTTTGAGTGTGTTTAGTGTGTCTGTAGTTCATCATTTGTGAGCGTACATACTGTAGATATACAGACATGCAGCCACAGCTAATAGATTTCCCAAAGAAACTATACTGACACAACATACATTAGCACATAGACAGTTGTAACAAGTAGTTGCAAATATTACAGAATTACAGGTATTTCTTTAAAAAAAAACTCTGCTTTCAGTAGTACATGTATCTCCATGAAGCACTCCAAGTCTTAGACACTAACAACAGAATGAATGCACTGTGAACATACTACAAACATTAGCCTGCATCTGCTAAAAGAAGTCTTAAACTGTCTCACAATGCTAAGCATCTCTGTGCTGCAAACATTTATTTTCTCTGAGACAACAAATAGGAGAGTTTTTAGGTTTTAGACAGGTGAAAGTACTCAAAAAGTATCATCTTGTCCAAAAGCACTTTGTACCCTTTCCTGGACTTGCTTTGGTGATATAAGGCAAGGTCCAAGTCGTTCAGTTCAAATATCGTTCCCCTCTGGGATCGCAGTGTAAAGACTCCCAGCCAGAGTGGTGCTGCCTTCAGGTTCACACTATGTTCCCATGTTTCTGTGGCCTACGCCGATCCCGAGCCTTAAACATGTTATAGCTGTGACGACTCCAAAAGATGCCACTTAAACTGTGATTAAAGACTCTATATGTTTGCGTAAGAAATCCACAATACTATCTGCCAAAGTGTAGATGTACAGTGCCTTAGAATACACTCTGACATTACCTTTTGCTTTTAAGTCTGAAATCAGTTTGTGGATTAAACAAAAATAACTCACCGCCATATATTCCTTGGTACATCTTCACATCCTGAGAAATTGTTTTCTTATAATTGGTACACTCCTAGAAATACAGGTTTGATAGTTATCAGCCTTTTTACAAGATCTATATAAAACACAGACTGACTGCCTTTCCCGTCGTAGAAGACCAAAAATACCGAGATACAGTCGATCTTTTGTCCTGTGCTGCATGGTAGCAAGGAAGTGCCTTTGGTTTAAAATGTCCTACTTCAAAAAAATCTAAGAGAAATTACAAATTAAATGTTGCTAGACCAAAAAATGAGACATAAGTGAAACCAATCACCGCTTTGCCTTTTTAAAGGACTGTGATGACAGCAGGAGGAGATCTGGGTAGTGGTAAAAAAATAAAGGATATATTCATTTCTATCACATTAATTGATTTCACAACTGATGTATTTAAAGAAAACCTATTTCTTTGCTGATAACGTACAGCTGCTGACTGCATGCAGGATGTCGACACCACAGCTGTTTGCTTCGTGCACACTTGCAGGTTCAAGTGTTTTTAAAAAGGTTTTTGGAAGTATGATTGTTTCTCCTGTGAAAAAACACAGAAACATAATGTCCCCTTGCAGAAACAGCCGTGATGTCGACGAAGGTTAGACACAAGTTTTGAAAATGTCTTACTGAAAAGTTTATTTAATACTTATTCTACAGTACACTACTAATTTTAAAAGAATGTTTTGGAAAGCTGTTTCAGAAACTAGTTTTTCAAAACTGCTGGTGTGGACGAGGCCGTCAAGGTTAATACTTTTCACTTTAAGGACCATAGCTACTCAAACATTAGCTGTTTTTTATTAAAATAAATATAATCATCTAAAGTATTTTAATGGAAGAAGCTCTAAATAATTGCTGACAATGTCTCTGGTGGATGCAGTTATAGTTCAATCATTCAGTGTTTTGCCACAGTCCTGTGGACACGGTGGACTTTCTTTTCTTATGTTTACCCAGTATCTGTTCACATTTATTGATTACTTATCGAGATGTTTTCCTATTGTACTTGTATACAGTTGTACTTGGTTTTGTGATGACATTGTCTGTATATTGCAAGCCTAATAACATGGTTATGATGTTGCTGCTGTACTGCTGGTACATTTTGACCTGTCGTTTCAACACTAGAACAGCAGGACTGATGCCTTCTGTGGCGCCCGGTGGACCATTTGGAATAAAATGGACACATTAAATAGCTGACTCGAGGAATCATGCTACAAACATATCAGCAGTTTAGCTCTTGTTATTTGTAATTCTGTCGAAAGAGTAGGTACTGGTACCTTTTTTGTTTTATGACCATTTTCCGATGGTGGCTTTAACGTTATTTTTCACATAGCTCACGTATAGTTGTCATACACACGTTTGGGTTTTGTGTGCAAACTTGTTTTTTTGTAAAAAGGTGCTTTGTACAAAATGTTATATCTTAGCTTTTCTTGGTACAGATGTGTGATATCTTTTCGTATTTCAGGACAGTAAAGTGTTGGAGCGAAGGAGAGAAAGAAGCTCTGCTATGTTTCTGTGTTCTGCATATGGTCTTGTCTTTGCTCCGTAACATTATGATGCCTTCTTGACAATAGTAGATATTTTGTAGCTTTCTAGATACTTTGTATGTATGCAATATTGGAGTTAAATAAATCAAAAAATATATTGCCTTCTTTTGTTGTCACTAAGAAAGTAGTATAACATGACTGTGTGCACTGAGGCACCACTTAACTGTTAAACTGCAGGAACCTCCCACCAACAGCAGGTGGAGCCTTTTCCTGTATTTGTGTGTTACCTTGGTCCTGGGTCACATGTAAAACAATATATATGTTAAGTACACTAATGTAGTTACAGGAAACATCACCAGAGGGAGACATTGTTTATTTCAAATTAACTGCATAATGATCTTCCTTCAACACGTAAAGAAAACCAATGAATACTAAACTATAACATATTGTACAGCACTAACATGTACAGTGTAATCAGAATCGATGAAAGCAGAAACAGTTTAGAGATGAAGTGATTATAATTATTCTGACCTGTTTATCTACAGGTATCGGAGAATATTGTGTTTGTCAACTAAACAAATATTAGCCCATTATTAAGCTGTCTATAAACTTTTATGATAACAAACTGACAACATCAGTAACTAATATTTGGTTGTTGTCAATGCAAAGCTCGTATTTTAAAACTCCCCTTAAGGTAATATGGGAATTATACCAGGATGTTCCTGTGGTTTTGAAGTAAAAGCTCTAAAAAAAAAAAAAGGTTCACAGAGGCAACTTTTTACACTGAAAGCAGACTAAAAAAGTGAAAGAGCACAAAACCAAAATCGTTCCTGCTGGATGTTTGAAGAAATACTTGAGAGTTCAATAAAGCAACAGTGCCCATGGACCAAGAGAAGACTCAAGAGAGTGCACAGCTCCACCATGTGGTCATCTATTGAGTTTGAGTGATAACTCCTGTACTCCGAGTACAATGTCATTCTGAAATAAATATTGTGGTGCTGCAGAGAAGTCTCGGCCTAAAAAAGGTATTCTACAGACTTAATAAAAAATCCTTCTTTGAAACGGATCACCATGATCATTATAAAAGTTTTTTTTAATGATATAGTGAATGATGTATCAAAATTCCCTATTGTAAATCATATTGCTAAATCAGTTAAACACTCAAACAATCTCCTTTAGCACTACCGAGTTATAAAAAACTATTCTTTCTATAATCTTCATGTGACATTTATACAATCTAATATAAATCCACAAAAGCAAACTGACCCTGAATACTTACATCACTAAACAGTAAAGTGTAATCCAGCAGAAGGTCACCGCTGCTCCACTGTAGTTTATTTGTGTCTCTGTGTTCCCTGCAGGAAGTGGCAGCTCTGCAATAAACAGTGTTTGGCCTTAGATGACAGTTTTTCAATATTTGAAAGTATGTCATTTTTTCTAGTTTGCAACGTAAAGAATCACAACCTGTGTCTGGATCGGATGCATTCAAAAGATAAAAGGTCAATACAACATTTTTTATATCCTTTAAAAAATATATATTAAATCTGTTTTTAAATATTTCCTACTGCCTCTTGAGGCACTAATACTCAGCTTTCTCAGTCGTTCTATATTCTTGAAAACACACACTCTGCAGGTTAGGATTGCAACCAAGTGAATATTCGAATAATTCGCTCACCCCTCCGTTTACAAGTAACAAGCCTGCGAGTGGAAAACGGTACTGTGATATCTTTCAGGACCTTGATTCTCAGAGACCATCCTTATCAAACAGAACGTAGGCTACTTCAGATTAATTACAAACGGTGCAGCTGTGAAAGAGGCCCGCTCTGTATGTACTGATATGAAGAGCTCATTCTAGGTTACAACATGATTTAGGGTTTTAAGTGAGACACTAATTTAATGAAATATTCACAACAGCCAATTTCTGAATAATTAATATTATTGCATCAAAAGGATTTATACAGTAGGCCTACTTTATTTTACTGTATATATACTGCCCAGTATCTTGTGAATTTCATCCAAATATTAAACAGCTTTATATTGACCCATAGTGATAACGCTCTTATACCCCAGAAATTCACTAGGGACCATCTTAAGTACACTTTGAATGACAAAAAATGTGTTTTTAATACACTTGGTTGTGTTTATTTGCCTATATAAAAGGTTGAATGATGCTAAATTAGTAATAAATAAATTGCAATAGCTTCCAAAATAGGTGTACTACTCGTCCAGTGTAATAATACAATGCTGCATTGATTTGGAGGTGTTGTGTCACGTGGTGACCCTTTTTTAACTTGGAATGAAAAAAACTAAATGTTCATAAAAAAATAGAAGAAGCACTTAAATCCAATAAAAAGCATCAAGTGTAGTAATAATAATATCCGGTTTGGATTGGTCACAGTCACATGACATGGAAGCTATTGACAAAAAACTGAAATGATCATCTATTAAAATAATCTTGTAAAATGACACATCAGCAAGCCATACATTGTGCCACACAAGACATATTAATTAAAGGATATTTAGCAGAATGTTCTCCAATATGGGCAAGTTGGCACCGAGGTTTTGAAAATAACATTGATTTTGTCAATCAAATAGTAATTTAATGTTGGTCCCTACTAGTGAAACCCTGTAATAAACAGGTAAGGCTCGGCTGTGTGAGCTAACGATGCTCTGACTGCAGACTGTCTCTGAAACGGAGGCAGAAATAGCTGCTGGACCCGGATTGGATGTCTGTCAAATATCCAAAACTTCAGCGCGCTAAACAAGCCAAAGAAAATAGCAACTGGTTTCTGAGACCTGGTCATGTGATCACAGCAGAGGCAGTCTCATGAGGGCACAGCATAAAGACACCGAAATCGTGCCTTATTATGGCCTCTGAAGTATACAGACGCCCACATGGTGCTCTAAACCCGCAGCTCCATCAGAAACTTCTCATGCGTCTGGGACGCAGCGCGCATGCACGAACAGGAGATGAGTATGGACACAGCTGCGCTTTTCTCCAGACATGCGGATTTAAAATCTATTTTAAGAACTACTTAATTCTCATTTCTGTTGATAAGAAATAGGGTTTAGCAGACATTCATGATGGAGCCGGAGGAGAGTAAGATATCAGTGTGGGTCTGCCGAGAGGAGAAGCTCGTCTTCGGCTTGTCAAAGCGCACAACCTGCGCTGATGTTGTCAAAGTGCTTCTGGAGGACCAGAACTCTCAACACGGCCTCTCCACAGCTGCATGCCCGCAGTCTTACTGCATCGTGGAGAAATGGAGAGGCTTCGAGAGGATTTTACCGAACAAAACCAAGATTTTCCGGCTTTGGTTCGCGTGGGGAGAGGAGCAGGGGAATGTGAAGTTCGTGCTGGTGAAGAACGAGGCATCTTTGGCGAACCACGGAGCCCGGAGCGCAGAGGCGCGCGTGGTGCTCAGCAAACAGAGCCCCTGTGGCACGAAGGGCACCTCGCGGTCTCCCATGGGTGGCATCCCGCCTGAGAAACAGCGTCGGGTCGTCAGGAAAGCGTTCAGAAAGTTGGAGAAGATCAACAACAAGAGGGCGCAGAGAGACGCGTCATCTGCGGAAAAGATGGAAACTTTGGTCCATGTTGTGATTTCTCAGGATCATACGATCCGCCAGCAGGTCCAGAGGATCACTGAGCTGGACTCAGACATCGACAGGTGCGAGGCAACAGTGCATTTTGACAGAATTAAGAGACATGGAGTTAACTATGTGCAGGACACGTATTTAGTGGATGGTGCTGAGACAAAGGGAGACAGAGTGTGTTCAGCTGAGACTCTGGCCAAGTTTGAAGAGTATGTCCTGAAGTGTGAGGAGGTGGTGAGACTACAAGAGGAGCTGTGGGAGCAGGAAGCCCTGATAGACATCTACACGGTGCAGATGCAGGAGGAGCTGAACCACAGCTGGATGCAGAGGAGGACAGAGGAGCTGCAGAGCAAAGACACACAGTCCCCCCCCAGCTCCAAGGCTCTCACAGCACCAGAGAACGAGCTGCTTTTGGAAGAGGAGAGGATCAGAACACAGCTAGATGTGAGTTCATACATTGGTCTGCGCCTCAACACGGATTTAGAAGCTATTAGGAGTGATTTAGATTTGACCCAGGAGATTTGCGGGGCGAGGGAGAAGGAGATGAGGGATTTGCTGGAGAAAGTGAACATTTTGGGCATAGATGAAGGGACGGGCAGTGAGGATGGGTGCAGCAGCCTCGGGACAGATGATAAGATGGGGATGATGAGCACTTTGGAGAGGAAAAACGAGTGGGTGGAGCAGGCCAGGGGTCTGTCCAAATCTCACAGTGTGAACGACGACGACTCGGACACTGGCTTAAGTTCCCTGCACAGTCAGGACTCAGACAGCCACCCAGTGTGGGAGTCACTGGTTTAGGGTGTACCATGATGGACAGGCTGTTTTCAACTAGAATCAAAAAGGACTTTCTAGAGTCTCAGGGATCCTATTGACTTTTGTAAACATGGATGACAACTGAGATTTTCATATGGTGTTTTTAAAAGAAACTGTTCATATGGCAACTCACATATCCCTATATTTTTTTAACATCTTGTTGTGAAGAACTACAACAGTCTTTGAAAGTTGTTTTCACATAAAAAATAAATGCTGTTTTTTAAGCTTGAGTTCACTTGTTTCTCTTTGCAATGACCCAAATCAGATTTGTGAAAATGTTCCAGTCAAAGGGGCAATGTTAAGAGATGACATGAGATGAAAAGCATAAATGTGCAAATACTTTGAGGCACATGGTTTCCACAGCCTACACCATGCCAATACACATAACACACACTCAAAGCTTTTTATTTGCAGATTGTGAGCTGCACTGTGACCCAGACACTGTGAGAGAGTAAACCTCTTTGCTGTGAATCATGAAGTCATAATAACGTCTGACGGCAAATCAGGCACAGACAACACAGACGGTCTGATAGAAAGACGCACTGCAGCTTCATCCCCCATGATGTGTACTAACTCAGAATGTTTGCTGTTGAACTTTAAGAGAAAACATTTCACAGCCAAACCTCTTCAGTGTAGTTTTTAAGAGCCTTTCAGAGTTTTGGAACAGCAGCACAAAGTCTCCACATTTAATCTGCCAGCTGTTAAAAATATTTGCCCCCTATGTTTCATAAATGTCCTGCACAGTTTTCCTGCCT